CTTAAGAGCAAGGTGTCCACATCATGCCCATTGTTGTAGATCCTTAATTACCACCTCATCATCTTCAAGAGACAAAATGGGTTCCAATGTTGAACTTGATATTGGAGCTGATATTTCAGATGAACGACATTGTAAGAATCAAGAAGTGAGAAATTCAACAAACTGTGGACTGAAGAGGAAACGACAGCGGAAGATCTCTCCTTATTCTCACATCCGTCAACCAACAAAATGTGAAGATTTTGAAGTTGAGAAAGCCAAATCATGGACAGATGAAATGTTTGACTTCATCAATAAAGAGATTGCCTTTTACAAGTCAGACGTAAAGAAGAAAGAGACTTCCAACGCTTCTGGGATTCAACACTGCACTGGACAACCTCTTGACCAAGACGGGTTGAAAAGCAGCAAAGGAACAGAATTATTTCCCGGCTCTAACAAGAATTATGATACATCTGCATCAGAGAACTGTTTGAAAGGTACGCTAATCTAAATAAATAATAAAGTTTAAAACATTCTCCCAAAATGCATCTGCTTGGATCGAATTATGTCTGTAAAGGGTTGTCAGTCATGTTCTGATAACTGAAGGTAAAAGAAATGCCAGTGTTGATGAAATCATGTATAACCACTCCTAATTATTCAGTACCTGCACCAAAGAATCCAAATGCTAGACTGAAGCTGGAGCTGGACATCTTTTCTGAATCACACTGCAACAAACCTGGAGTGGCGATATAAGTAACTTTCATCTCTTTATGTCCACAGATTATCAACATGTCATGTTGGATGTTGCTGCTACTTGCACAAAGCATGAAGCAGAGCGTCCAGTGACTGTGACAGCAGTGTCTGGGGTCACCGTGCCAGAAGAGACTGAGAAGTACCCAGGATTAACGGTCAGCTGCAGTTCCTCACAAGGAGAGCGTGAGAGACTCAAAGAAACACCAGGCACTCTACCTTTGTTATCCAAGCATGTGAGATGGGAGAGGGAGGATGTTAGCCTCATACCAATTGAAGGAGTAGGTTTAGGCAGTGGGCCTTGTGTGCTTGGTGGAAATCAAGATAAAAATGTAAACCAACTTAAGAAAATTGAAGACCAACACTACTGCCATGTTGAATCTAAGGATGCAGTTGCACTTTCCAGCCTAGATTCGTTAACTGATAAAACTGGGCTTGGCAAAACACGAGTCTCTATGTACCAAAGTGAACAATCGGTGCGCAACCAAACAAGCTATGAAAATGCGGAAGAGGATACAACTGGTGTGTGTTTACAGGCTTGTTTAAGCGCATCTCTTCCTTTGAATAAAGTGAGCAGGGGAGAGCTGTTCTATGTAACGGTTGTAAAAGATCCACAATATGAAGATATTTCAGACACAGACAATTTATCGGATACGGACACGAATCTCCTAAGCACAAATCAAAGGGACCCTTCATATGAAGATATAAGTGAAGATGAGAATCCAGAAGTTGATGATAATGACGAGGAGATGCCTTCACCTTCATGTGAAGTGTCTGAAGCCAGTAATACGCAGTTTGGACGTGTGCAGAGTCAGGCTGAGTTTCCAAAGAACCAAACACTTGGCATAGCACAAGATTGCTCTTGTCCATGTTTTGTTGAAACTGAGGATGGGTTTGAACGTTTCTTATGTCCTAAATGTGACAGTGAGAAACATTTAGATTGGCAAGCAAGCTGCTCTTTGAGCCCCCTTTCTGACGCACAAGATCAAGAGGAGACTGATGAGGACGATGATTGGCTTGTTATGCCTATTAACGTATTAGATGTTAAATGGGAACCAGCAGACGAAGGCCAGGCTGACCCAGAAACTGTTTCACAGCATGATGGTGAGCATGAAGACCAGGTAAAACAAAGTGACACAAATCCAGCTGTCTGTGAGGTACCCGGATCTGTTCCAAACCATGTGCCAGCTTCTGCTTTTTCTATGATGGAGGTTTTTGAAACACCTTCTCATCTAGCAAAAGTCATACAATCTAGAGAGACAATGCAACAGTCCTTCATGGTGCCTTCCTCCTGGGGCACAACTGAGACTAAAGCTCAGAGACCACAAAATAGGGAGTCACATAGTGATC